TGGTATTTGTTTTCATGCTGACAAAAACTATTGATAAAATTGAAAAATAATAGATTTATAGCGCCTAAACCACACATTCATAGGTATATAGACTCGATTCTTGTCTTCGTGACATATAATTATGGTATTCGTGAGGACGTTTTTGCAATGTATTCCTTTTAGTACTGAAATTGAGTTCACTGAAAACAAAATGATAATAATAAAGAATAAAATAATCAACATCATTGTAAAGATCAAATGATATGTATTTTTTGCTTCACGCAGCATACTCCACACTTGAAAAAAATGCAATCAACCACACTCGTACCTATTACGCAAATCTCAGAAATAAAGTTAAATTACCATAATAATTGGTAAGCAAAATTTTAAGAGGGTATACTTAAAATATATTTATTTTACTTGAAAATAAAATTGTTATACCTATAATACATAATATAACATATAGATTATATTTAAGTTTACTAGTGAAAAAATGCTTGTAATGCTTGTATGGCCTATGTCACCGCGGGTATTTTTATTAGTGAAAAGAATAATGACAATAGTACCTACTATATACTAACTGTTAAGAGAATTACATCGTGTAAAAATATAACTTGTCAAAAAGGTATTTTACTGGAAATCATTCAATTATTTACTTTTTTTTTAGATAGTGAGATGAGATGGATTGATTGGTGTTGTTTAAGGGAATACTGCAGGCACTTCGTGTATCTCATTTCTATAGAAATTTAACCTGACCGTATAATTCTAACGTCCATAATACGTATATTAGTCTGATGCTGAGTCGTTATTGGTATATTATAAAATAATAATATAGGTAGGTATATAATTTTATTCTTTACTACCTCGGACGACGGAGAGATTCATCACGATGCAAAGATCTGTTTTGGTTTTTCCACGAGGTTAACAAAAATAAAAAATAAACGATGTCATATCGGTTCGACAACGTACCTATATTTATGGTAATGTGAATAATAAGTTACAATTGATTGCGTATACAAGTATTGAAATAATATTATT